ATAGGAATGTGTCTTTTAAATTACACAGCACATCAGGCAGAATTCCTGAATCTGGAAAAGAACTTTCTGTGCTTTAACATCTTTGGTTCTTTCACAGCCCCAGCACTGCTGTAGTCAGGAATGTTTGGGGCTGAATTTGGTGCTGTAAATTCTGATTCAAAAAGTATAGAACCACAGAGTCACAGAATGGTTTGGGTGGGACAATAAATCTTATCCAGTTCCAGCCCTTGCCATGGGCAGGGACACCTTCTGCTAGACCAGGTTGCTCCAAGCCCATCCAACCTGACCTTGGACGCTTCTAGGGACGGGGCAGCCATGGCTTCAGTCTGTGACTTAGGGGAGTGTTTTAATGACTTGGAGGTAAAACCTGCGTTGGGATTGCCTCCAAATGCACAGTCTTTCTTCTTAGCCCCTACCTGAGTGCTGCTTTGCATCGCTGTTGTGCACTTTGAGTTGGCCCAGGGCTGGCTGCTGTCAGCAGCTGATCTTTTCTCTTAGCCTGCAAAGTCACTCTGGCAAATGAAAGCATCTGCGGGTTTATTTTCGTTCAGTATCAGCACAGGCTGCAGTACAGGGATAGGAGTTACCACACCTAATTACCTGCATTCAGGCACAACATGCCTGGAAGCTCTCAGGAGGAGATGGTGCTCTTGTCACTCGTGACATGGTCTGAAGGTGCTGATGCTCAGGGCTGTGCTGTGTCTTCACTTCTCCTGCCTCAGCCTCCCACGCAGCAGAGCTCAGTGCCACTCCTGGAAGAAACCTGGGATGTCTGACCCGTAACAGCCTGCAGAAAGCACCTGCAGCTCTGCAGAGGCTGTGAAAACAGCACATCAGCCATTTCTTGAGCTGTCTGGGACAAGTGACAGTGGGGCAGAGGAATGAGGACACCAGAGACGTGTCCCACATCAGCCTCTCTCCTCGCAGTCCCTGGCTTTTATTCATCTTGCTTGCAGTGTCCAGGTACTGCACAGCCTCCTCCCTGTGCAGGTGCAGAGTTGTTGGGGAATTCCCAAGAAATCCATCCTCCTTTCCTGTCTTGTCTTTCTCTCTGGGCATTTCTGCCACCTAAAGGCAGCCAAATAGAGAGCAAATGGTAGTTCTGGAGTGCTCCAGGTTGCTGAGAGAGACGAAAGCTGCTCTGCCACCAGCCAATGATGGGGCAGAAAACGGGGACAATAAAACCCCTGCTGGGCCCGTCGGGTGGTCTCCACACCATCTTCTCTTGGAATTAAGCAGCACTTTGCTAAGTGACCGGAACACCTCTGTGCTCATCCCATTGTGCTTATCTGCAGGATGCAGGAGTGATCTCCTGGAGCATGGTACAGTCTCTATATGGAAACACTGTCCTCTTAATCCCTACAGCACCAGGTAACTGGTTTTCCCCCAGTACTTCCCCTGCAGAGCTGGATGTCTGACTGGTTGTGCCACAGTTTGTGAATTCCAGGCAGAAGATTCCGTGCTGGCACAGGGATGCTCTGGGGGTGTCACCTTATATCCAGTCCTTTTGCTGAGGTACCTGAGCTTTCTGACCTTCAGTCCATGCCCAAACATGGTTGGGAGCTCTGGAAGCTTAGGGAAGCTCACCAGTCATCCCATCGTGTCAGTTTGGGATGGCCCTGGGACTTGGCAGGACAGGCTTGTGCGACGACCACGTGGGTGGGATGTTACCGGCTTGGTTTAGACACAGAAATAATGTGAACTTCCAGAAATTCCTCATATTCCACTGATTTCCACGTAGACTGTGCTTTGGAAATCTCAAGTGGATGTTCAGGCATGTGGAATTCTGCTGTGGGCAACCACATGAGCAGTTTTTGATCGATGCATTTCACAGAATTCCTGTGTCTAAAAACATACTATTTTTCCACATGCAGGTGATAAAGAAAAGCAGAAGTTTAGGATTTTTGAACCTCCAAAGACAACTCCTTGGAGCTGCTGGTGTTAATTCTGCAGTATTTGAGGGGAAAAAAGCTCTCTCCAGAGGCATTCTCCAGCTAATTATGTTCTGGCACACAATGAAAGAATGTGATGTTCCTTCTTAAGTGCTTCCTTTCAACTTAAACTTTGTGCAACTGGAGCAGCACTTGAAAGCCAGATTAAACCCCCAAATTTGCAGTTAAGTGCTTTTCCTCTGGCTCTGATCAGCACTGTCAGCTCAGAACGAGCAGAGCAGATCGGCTCAAAGCTGTAGGAAAGGGAACACCTACAGCTGGAGTAGCGTTTCCTTGGAGCGTGCAGGCTGCGGAGAGAGGGAAATGTGAGTGAGTGGAGGAGTTGGGATGTCTTCGGGATTCTGTCATGTCCCATTGCAGTTTAATTGCCTTTGAACAAAAGGCATTTCCTCTTCTAGCTCAGCATTTCCAGGCTCTGGAAAAGGCTTTTGCTGACTCTAAACCTTGACAGTTCTGATTTTTTCCACTCTTGGTTCCTACCTTCTTGTGGCTAGCTGGCTGCTCTTACTAGCAAAATAGCTTCTTGTTGCCTCCGCCTGTGGAAAAGTGGGAATTTTGCTGTGGGTTGTGAGAGCAGTTCCTCGGTGAGCACAGAACCTGATCACCAGACTGTGGGCTCTGGCACTGAGCATTCTGCTTTGAGAAAACCCCACAAGCCATGAAGAATCTCGGCGAGGCACTGAGCATTCTGCTTTGAGAAAACCCACAAGCCACGAAGAATCTCGGCGAGATAAAAGGTGGAATTCCAGCCAGGGAACGAACTCCCGGCGCTGGAGCACCAGGAATGTGAGGAGCAAGGTGTTCTCTTTGACCCAGTTAGGATGTACAGCCCAGCAGCTCTGTCCCCTGTGCGTGGCCTAGTGTCTGATTAACAGAAATGACTTTGGAGTTTTAATTTGGTCCCTTCTCTGAGGAGACACAAGCAATCCTGGCTGAGAATTCCCAGTGTTTTAAATGGGAATTATCCTAAGGATAATGGCCTAATTAGGATGCTAGTTTTAGAACCTGATCGTGTGGGTGTGTGGCAGAATAGGTTGAGTTTGCTGCTGCAGAAACCCACCCTGTGGCACCTCTCTGGGGGATGGAGGTGCCAGAGTGCTTGGAAATGACTTTTCCCATCCCTGAGATAAAATATCTGTATATTGATGTACTTACAGTGCAAGGATTTAAGGTCTGTGTGCCTCCTGCTAGTGTCATACATGGTTCTTCTATCAGACCCCTCAGTAATTGCCTTGAAGGAAAATTAAAACCAGTTCTGTGAGCTGTTAGGAACATTTTCCGACTGAAGTTGAATGTGTGAGTCTCTTAAAACCAGGAGGGAGGAACTGGCTACTGAGCTTTTCCTCTATTAACTCTCAGCTCAAGTGTGATCCACCCTGGGAGCAGGTAAAATTGAGCTCACTTAATTAAGTGTATTTGTCTGAGGAATGCTCAGTGGCACTTAGCATCTGAGCTCCCCAGTCTTGGAGTTTTTGAAATGAAACTGTCAGTAATATCACTCTAATATTGCCCTCACCAGCTCTCCCAGGAAGAGAGGAGCTAGGGAATAACTATTTCTGTGCTGAGTGTCTTTTTAACTCTCACATCGTTGAGTACACAGGCTTAGTACTTGGTCTCATTCTGAGCAGCAGTGTGGCCCATGGCTTCACCTGCCCCTTCTCCTCTTACAGCCTGAAAATTGGACACCGAATATCCTGATTGCTTCCAGATCGCTGAGGTCTCACCGAAAAGTTGAACTCATTTGGTGGATTTGTTTTACAGTGGTGTGAAATTACTCGAAGACACGTTTCCTTAGCTGAGGGTCTCAGCTGAGCTCCTCTAGTCCTCCAGACAGTGTGGGTGTGCTGGGTTTGTGCCTTCTGTCTGCTGCTGTGGAGCACAGGCTTTTGGTACAACTTCTGTGGTTCTCTGGGGGTTTTTAGCCTCTCTGTTGGTTTTGGTCTCTGTTACTCAGAGGAAGGGCAATAGCAAGTTGCTGGGTAAGAGGATTTGTAGAGGGAAAAGTGCCTGCCTCCCCCACAGCTGGCATGGATGAATTGATCAGCAGCCTGTGATATCCACTGGATTTTTTCCCCCGTTTCTATTTCCTGAGAAATCTGTGTTTTGTGGCTGTAACCACAATCTACAAATTGTTGGCGCTTCATTTTTGAGGCCTTACTGAAGGTCCTGCCACAAGAGCAGGCAGGTCTGTGTAAGGTGTATGATGGAGCTGTGTGGCACTTCTTCCAGGAGAATTCCAAAGGGTCATTGCCTCTCCTGGGGCTGTTGAGCCAGCCTGAACCCCAGGAAACTCTCCACATAGATGTCAGGGAATATCCAGGAGTTGCTCTGTAAGCTTTAGGAAAAGCATTTCTATAACAGCAGCTGGTGGGAAGGAGTTGTTCCCTGTGAGGCTGCTGAGGCACTGGCACTGGTGTGTTTAAAGTGAACTGAAATGGAGCCAGAGAGGGACTTGTTGGAGGGGGAATGGCTTCCTACTGCCAGAGGGCAGGGCTAGGTGGGATATTGGGAAAAGAAGTTGTTCCCTGTGAAGTGCTGAGGCTCTGGTACAGGTTGCCCAGAGAAGCTGTGGCTGTCTCATCCCTGGGAGTGTTCCAGGCCAGGCTGGATGGGGTTGGAGCAGCCTGGGCTGGTGGGAGGTGTCCCTGCCCGTGGCAGGGGTGGGACTGGGTGATGATGAAGGTCCATTCCAACCCAAACCAGTCTGGGATTCCATGATAAAAGAGGAGCAGTGACACATGCCTTACATTGCCTATGTTGGTGGCTCAAACAGGAGCCCTAAGAAGGGAATTTTGGAAGGGGAGGTGTGAGGCCGAGGGGTCACTGATTCAGTCACCGTGCTCATCCCATGCTCCTGTGGTAACCTCCGTTTGGTTCCGGGCGTTTCTCTTGCAGAGCTGCGGAAGAGCCGCCCCAGGCCCTATGGGCTGGTGATCCCAATCAGCACCAGTGCCGACGGGAGCTCCGTCTGCAACGTGCTGGCGGTGAGGCACC